TACTTCCCGCAGTGTGTTCGGGATAGGAAAGTGGCAGAGTTCGTGGAACTAAAGCAAGACAGTATGACTGTAGCTGAGTATGAGGCCAAATTCACCGAATTGGCCAGGTTTGCACCTTATGTAATTGATACTGACTATAAGAAGGCGAGACACTTTGAAGGTGGGCTCCGAAGTGACATCCTAGAGAGAGTGAATGTCTTGAAGCTGGAAACCTACATTGGGGTGCTAGACAGGGCCATCATTTCAGAGGCTAACATAGCTAGACAAGCTAAGCCAACAACAGAATGGAAGAGTAACAAAAGGCAAGGCTTCTTTTCAAAGAAGAAATTTTTGAAAAAGCAAAACACGGGCTCCTCGAATACTTCAACTCCTTCCCGAGACACAGCTCCCATGTGCAACATTTGTAACAGAAAGCACCGTGGAGTTTGTTACCGTGTGTTAGGGCCCTGTTTCAAATGTGGGAAACAAGGGCATATGGCCCGAGATTGTAATCAGAATGGGGGAAAAATAGCTGCTAGTTCCACTGCATCGATCCCGAAACCGGGAAATACTTTGAGATTCGCTACCACCGGGGACATCGTGAGACAGAAGAGAGTTTTTGCACTTGTTCCGGGCGATACACGGAATGCCAACGCAGTTGTCTTAGGTACTATTTCTTTATGTAATCAGGATGCTTTTGTTTTAATTGATTCCGGATCCACACACTCTTTTGTGACATATGCATTTGCATCTAGACTGAATAGACCTTTAGAATTACTGCCATACCTGCTATGTGTGTCGGCTCCATCTGGGAAATTTGTATTGTGTGAATCTATATACCGGTTTTGTGATATGCGTGTTGAGGATGCTATCCTATATGTAGATTTGCTGCCCTTGAACTTTAGGCATTTTGATGTAATTTTGGGCATGGATTGGTTGACCAAGTATTGTGTTACCATCGATTGTGTGACAAAACGAGTTGTATTTAAACCACCAGAACATAAAGAGATTGTGTTTGTGGGTAATGGGGTAGTGCCTCCACCTTATTTGATATCTGTAATGAAAGCATTTAAACTGATCAGGAAGGGGTTTATTCGACCTAGCACTTCGCCATGGGGTGCACCAGTGTTGTTCGTGAAAAAGAATGATGGAACTTTGCGTTTGTGCATCGACTACCGAGAATTGAACGAGGTAACAATAAAGAACAAATATCCCCTACCCCGTATTGATGACTTATTTGACCAGTTGCAGGGAATACAAGTGTTTTCCAAGATTGATTTGAGATCCGGGTATCATCAGCTGAAAGTTAAGGCAGAGGATGTTGAGAAAACCGTATTCAGAACAAGGTATGGACATTTTGAGTTTCTTGTTATGCCATTTGGAGTGACTAATGCTCCGACAGCATTTATGGACCTAATGAACCGAATTTTTAAAACCTACCTTGACGAATTTGTTGTGGTTTTTATTGATGATATTTTGATATATTCTAAAGATAGACTTGAACATGAACATCATTTGAGAACGGTCTTACAAATACTTCGGGAAAGGAAATTATTTGCTAAACTAAAGAAATGTGAGTTTTGGTTGGATGAAGTTGTTTTCTTAGGGCATGTGATCAACTAGGAGGGAATTTCAGTGAACCCACAGAAAATAGAGGCAATTCACTACTACAAAAACAGATAAAGTTCACACTTTTTTTGTGTGATGTATGTTATTTAATCACACCTTTTAAATTTTATTAAAGTGTGATCTTTGGGAGTGTGATTAAAAGTAGTCATTTTTAATCACACCTTTTAAGTGTGATTAAAAATATTTTGATCACATCTTTTAAGTGTGATTAAAAATACTTAGATCACACCTTTTAAGTGTGATTTAAAATATTTAGATCACACTTTTTAAGTGTGATCTTTGGAAGTGTGATTAAAAATAGTCATTTTTAATCACACTTTTTAAGTGTGATTAATAACATTTAGATCACACATTTTAAGTGTGATTAATAATATTTGCATCACATCTTTTAAGTGTGATTAATAACATTTAGATCACATCTTTTAAGTGTGATTAATAACTAATAAAATTTGTGATAAAAAAAGGATTCGACATATTTGAAAAATAATCAATATTATTTTTGTATACACATTTGAAGAATGTAATACACACTATATACTATATTTTGAATCATAACCATATATTGAATAGAATAACGTCATATATTTCATAAATGGAAATTAAATATTCAAAACTATATACAAAGGAATTAAATAAAAAAAAATTAACTGTGCTTACATATATTAAAAAATAAAAAAACTTAAAAAACAAGTTTTTTAATTCTTGGACCATATTTTGCATCTCTCCAAAAAATTCTGACCTGAAAAATGAAAACACAAATTAATCCAAAAACCGCTGATGCATATGAATAAACTAAAAAGTTAATTCAACAAACCAAAATAGGAACATTAATCATTTCTGCTTGATCTTAATCCTTTTGGAAATAACTTCCCTGTTAACAATTCGATGCCATAGCAGCTCGGCCTCGTTTGGGATGCTACCTTTTTAGCCAATTAGCCAAAAAGTTACTAAATTAGCCAATTAGCCAATTAGTCATACCAAAAAGTCAACAATTATGGCTTCTCTGTACTTTTTGCATAGCTTTTTGTAATTAGTCAAAAAGTCATCCCAAACATACAAGTTTTTTTTACCTACCTTTTTAGCCAATTAGCCAAAAAGTTACTAAATTAGCCTGTTCCCAAACGAGGCCACTGTCAATGACATTGTAATTAGGAGGTCACTAATGAGCACAGTATTTAAAAATGAGAAATCTTAATACAGCTTGTGTACGATCTTTTTGTGAATGCATATTATTATTACTATTGAACCATAATTCTAGGTACCCATACATAAATAAATAAAAACTCCAGAATTTACTCCATTTTTTTTTTTGGTGGGGGGTGGAGAGGGGTTACTATCACCAGCAGCAACAGGTTTTGGAGAAGCAGAGGCTGCATTTTCTTTTGCACCTTTGGAGGAAAAACAAGAGAAAATAGCTACCCATTTCATGCATGTCTGTCTACCAAAGAATAAGTGCAAACACTAACAGCTGGCACAAGCGTATGAAAAATTATAAAGAAAATACATTATTATCTCAAAATACCTGGCCAAGCATTAGTAGTCATATAAGAGACCTAGGATTGAATCCTACCAGGTTGAAGGGATTATGGGGCATGGGGAGGCCTACTGACGTCCCTCCCCCCTGGAAAAAAGTGTACATGAATTTTGAAATTTCCCACAGATGGCACGGGATGAAATTGGGAAATGAAAAGCGAGAACAAGAATAGCTGAATACCTCATTGCATGGTAAAGTGGCCTATACCATATGACATATGAAAGAGGGCATCCAAGTAGAGCATAGATTGTTGCCAGGAAAAATATTTTTACACCTGGAAATAGTGACCACGTCAGAAGTTGTATATTGTAACCTGTCAACACTTTTATGCATATGCCCAAAGTACGGAAGAAAAGAAAATATTAGAAACCTTACCTTCACCTCTAATCCAACAAACTATCACAGCAATAACATTAAATACAAGGCAAAGAACTATGCCTGCAATGGCAAGTGGGGTAAAGGGGAAAAAAAATATCAGTGAAACAGGCTAAGTTATATATAAAAGAAATGCAGATCAATTGAAGTCTTCTTACCAAAGTTATATCAGAAAGACTAATAATGAAAAAAGGAGGAAAAAAATTTACTCTTGTATCATCCAATTTCGAATATTAACCTTGCAAGACTTCTTTTTGGTGGTGGTCGTGATGGTGGAGGTGGTGTAGGAATAAGCAGATTAAGTCACTTTAGTTGTCATGAAACTATCCTCTATATTTAATCTCAACTAAAACATATAATAAATCATGTTGGACGATCAGCACTTCATTGATATTCAGGCAGTCAATAAAGTAAAAAAACAGTAATTTGATCATGAGTATTCATATATCAAAAACTCATCTATGAAAAATGAACAGGTGATGAGTATTGATTTTCGCTTTATTTTATTATTTCATTCATTTGGCAGCCCAGTGGCAGGGAGGGGGTGTTTCTTAAAGAAAGCAACTAGCTAAGACAGCAGTATTGCCAGTATATGGTGATCAAACTCAGAAGTCGACACATAAAAGGAATAAGGAAAATGCTCAAATTAGAAAAATGAAGCCATCTATACCTAACCAACTTGCAAAAGCTAGATACTGCAACTTCTGAGCATGAACAAGAATTTCATTACCTATATCATGATGAATAATTGGGAAACATGGAGGCCAGTTTTTATCATCTGAAGGGACACCAGCTGAAAATGCAATATTAGAAGAAATAAATCAGAAAAATATCATTATCCAGGAAAAGCATATAAAACTATTCTCAAAGCAATATATACGTATTGGCCTTCATCTCATGGCTTACCACTGGAAACAATATCTTCCCTTCGTTTAATTTCCTAAAAAATATAGCATGCATCAGTACTATTGAAAACAAGTATATAAATATCTTAAAAAGTGTACACAATCAATATATATATTGCGATAATGGCAACATCTAAAGAAGTCGTCATCAAATCATGAAGAACTCTGGTTGTTATTTTGAAGGCAGTCAAATAAGTAATTTACAAATAAGAAAATACAAACAGATTTATGAGGTACAGTTGCAAGTATATTCTCGATAATGAAAGGAAAAACTAACACGTTCTCTCCTTTTTAGATCCACTTCCCAAGCTGCAAGTTCCTTCTCTTTTTTCTTAGGATCCTGCCATATCACACCACATGATATACAACTCAGTGCTCCCAATACTATGAAACAATATAAATTCAAACTGTAAATTGATTACATTCATTGAATCCAACGGTATATTAACAGTTGCATCATGTTTTTGGCCAAAGCCCAGTGTTTGATCAACCATTTGAGGAATGCGTGACTTTGGAGCAGCACTGCCATTCTGCATACAAGGGACAATTTGGATGGCCTGATGATCAATATGAATAATGAAAATAGGTTAAAAATAATATAAAAACAAAAATCCAAAATTGCATGATGCATCTTGTAGTCATAAAAACAACGAGAATTAAAGTATATATATATATATATCAGCTTAGTAAATAATGCATTAACTGGTACTTGCAGTGGCTACAAATAACCTAGTTGTGTACTGTTCATACAATAACTTAGTACATTTATCACTGAGAAGGGTTGTCATCGTTTCACCTGCCAAACAAAAATCAATTGTTATCATTAGAAGCTAAAAAGAGAAAAGAAAAACAAAAGCACAAAACATAAAAACCAAAATATTGAGTTACTTGAATTGGCATATTTAGGTGACCAATAACTAAATATCAGCTGGTTCATTCATGATATGAGATAGGAACTCTAACTTAATTGACAAAAAGGCATGGAATGCTCAGATTCTAAAGATCTCTGCATCTGATAGCTCGGCTACCAAAACATAACAATCAAAAAACTATATGCCTTTGACATACCATTTGCTTTTCAAACAGAGAACTGAGGTTGAGACCCTAAGATTTAGATATAAGTATTCAAAAGCGTTCATAGAGACAGGATTCATAGGTTGTTCTTCTCGTCTTTCCACGACAAGGTTTTGAGTGTCCTGTACATCAAAACAAAAATCACAATTGAAGTCACCCCCAATGCCCTATTCCTCAATACTAACCGAAAGGGTAGATGATCAAATATTTTTTGACTGAAATTGTAAGCAAGATATAGTTACCCTTGATTCATTGAAAATAGCATCCACATCGTCGAGACTAACATCCTCGTTTGCAAAAATAGGAGGCTTATATCCCTTCTTAAACCACTCATTCTCAATGACCTTCACAATGGTAATGCACTGTTTATACAATGAAATAACATTTGCAAAGCATTGGATACTCACCTCACAGATAAGTCCCACCAACTATGGTAGTGGTAAGAGTGGTTATAAAATTTGTTTCAAATTGGATGTCTAACACCATAATCACCAAATTTCATCTAAACCCAATTTCTACAATAGGCATAATCAATTGCATTAAATTGTAACATGGTAAGAAATTATTATTATTTTTTTTTTTGGTCAAGGAAAATAGAACTAAATGACCAAATTATCAACATAAGAGTGAAATTACAATAACTACAAGGGTAATTTGCCTTTAAAATTAAAGACCAAACGTAGCACTCAAATACTACAATTAAGCTTTTCATATCAAGGCAAGAGACTGATAGCCAGATTCATGCAACATATAAAATTCATTCAGTGAACTTGCAAACTTCACTTCTTTTGGGCACAACTTCCCTGTCAATGGATATGTTTTAAAGTCTTACACACATGAGATTCACATGTAATCCACTAATTATGAGTGTTTTTAAGGACAAATAACAAACATTTGCGAACAGAGGATCTTTCACCACTACAATTCAGGTTGGAGAAAGGAGAAAACCAACACAACAATACCCAAAACAAAGATATTAAAGTACTTGGAAAAATAACTACTAGTAGTAGAGAAGTGGTATGAATGAAATCAAACTAGTAGCCAACAAGGATTTGCATGAGCACATCACCTCTCTTATGAGGCAGGGTGGGTCTCTGGCTGGGCTGGAGGAGGGTTATCCCACCGTCATCAGGAATTTAAAAGATTGGTTAACAGATTTAGCGACATTTACAAAAAAAAAATGCCACAAAAAATGTGGTTATATCTACTTTTTCTAGTAGTGAATAGAGAAGAATCTGAAAAATGTAGACATCCAATCTAAGCAGCAAGCATATCTTATCACACTGTGACTGAACAACTAGCATATACACAAGAATGAGATGCCTAGCAAGGCAAGAAATAGCTTTTTATATTAGTTTCTAGACTCACCAAAAAGAGAGGATATGAACCAAGCAACGAGCGGGGAAGTGCTGAAGTGAAGTACCAATAAAATGAGATGTGTCTAGAGAGTAAATATTGAGGAACAAATAAAATATGAATTTCACAAGATACTCTAGTTATGTCAAGGGTGTATTTTGATGAGAGTTTTGAGGAATTTATGACAAAAAAAGTATAAGAGAAATCTGCACCATTCATGAATCAAGAGATCAAATAGATAAGAAAGAAAATATAAAGGTGCATATTACAACAAGATCAAACCCCAAGCCAAACACCACAAATAAAAGAAACATTTCAAAAAGGAAAAATTTCAAATTGTATATTTTATATAAAGGAAGAGCTGCCAACTGCTTGTACGACTGTCTAATCAAAGATCTGATTCAGAAACATTTCAAAAAGGAAAAATAAATAAATAATGAAACCGGAACCTTTCTTAAGGATGACTTTAAGTACTAAATAAAGAACAAGATCCACCAGAAAATCTATTCTTCATTTCAGAAAATGACAATGTACCAAGGTACTTTATTTTAGAAACTACCATGATGGTGATGGTAACCATGGTAGAATCTGTAAAAGTCCAATGCTAGCAATATCAAAGAACATAAATACATCCAAATGTATTCTTTTATTTTTTTCTACCTCCTATAAAGTATCTGTAGAAAATTTTGCAAATAACATATATGAGAATTCTAAATCTCCTCTTCATGAAATCAAATCTTTTAATTTCCTCCATTTTCTCAGCAACCTCACACCAAAAACACAACTTTTTTTCATTCAAAGATGAACATCAATAATCTGAATTTCATTTTCATTCCATTTCCACCATATATCAAAACATAAAACACAATATGTACACATTTATATTGTATAAAAACACATATACATACAGATGCACAAACACATCGATCTTAAGCATATTATTTGGAAATGAAGAGAGAGATAGACAGAGAGAGAGAGAGAGAGACTCTAAATCAGAGGCTTTACCGGCCTGAGCTGGAGGGAGAGGCTTGGAGGGCAGCTTAGCCGGCTGAGTAGCGGCGGCGGACTGAGCCGGAGCAAGGGCTTTCTTCGGAGGGGGAGGGAGCTTCTGGAGGAGCTGATTGGGGTCGTCGTTGTCATCGTCGCCGAGAAGATCAAAAGGGTTTGTGGTCGCCATTGTTATATAGTTCGATATATGTTTTTACAGATACATAGCGATGTAAAAGCTCGAAGCTTTTGGAGTTTCAGAAGCAACCAGGCACAGACGTGGCCTCGTATCTCATTTGGAATTTGATACAGTAAAGTGATATTATGTATTCGAACCAGCTAAAAAAAAATGTTATGTATTCAAAATTTTCATTTAAAAAGTATCCATAATTTAAAATTGTATAAATTAAATTTATTGAAAATATAACTCACATTACATTCAAAATAAATTTGAAGAGTCTTGTTACAGCCACACTTTTTTTTTAATAATATTTTTTATCGCTTACTCACAATGAAAGTGGACCTGCATCATCACATGATATGAGGTACACTTCCATTGTAAGTAAGTGTTAAGAAATGTGGTGAAAAAGTATATACAAGTGTAATCTTACTCAATTTGAATATACACGTACATTAAAATTTTGGAATTTATTGAAAACTTGGGCACTTTTTAGAAAAAGCTATAGGTTTACAAAGGCGCAAACCAGTAATTTTTTGTTTTTTAATTTTTTTTCTGAGTCCTCCCAAATTCCATGGAGAGGGATGGTATGGTTGGTTAATGAATATTATCAAGTCATCCTAGTGTTACAGGAGAAAACGAAAGCCGAATATGTCTCAGTCATCTCCCCGACCTAGCCAAGAACATGGAGATGATCCAGAGAAGAGCAAGAAAAAGACCAAGGGAATCTAAACACACCAACGACAGTAGGGGAAAGGATTAGGGTTCTGCAGCATGTAGTGTATATATAATCACACTTTAATTAGAAATGTGTGATTAAAAAATATATATATAATCACACTTGTTTAAAAAGTGTGATTAAAAAGTAGTAGTGTATATATAATCACACTTTCTAATTAAAGTGTGATTAAAAAATATATATATAATCACATTTACTTAAAAAGTGTGATTAAAAAGTAGTAGTGTATATATAATCACACTTTAATTAGAAGGTGAGATTAAAAATATATATATATAATCACACTTAATTGAAAAGTGACATAAAAAATAAATATTATCACACTCAATCAAATTAAGTGTGATTAAAATACCAATCTAATTTTTTTTATCACACTTTCAATAAAAGTGAGATCTTTTTTTTGGTCAAAGTGTGATCTTTAACTATTTTTGTAGTAGTGATTGTGAATTGGCCTACACCGACAAATGTGACAGAAGTTCGCAGTTTCATGGGCTTGGCTGGTTACTACAGGAGGTTTGTGAAAAACTTTTCCAAGATAGATGTACCTCTTACCCAACTGACTCGCAAGGGGCAAATATTTGAATGAAATGACGAAAGAGAAGCTGTCTTTCATGAATTGAAAATGAGATTGACCACTGCACCAGTGTTGACACTACTGTCAGGTACGGAAAATTTTGTAATTTTCAGTGATGCATTTTATAAAGGTTTGGGTTGTGTGCTAATGCAGAACGGAAAGGTTATTGCTTATGCCTCCCGACAGTTGAGACTGCATGAGAAAAACTACCCAACAATGACTTAGAATTAGCCGCAGTCATTTTTGCTTTGAAAATCTGATGGCATTATCTGTATGGGGCAATGTGTGAAGTCTACACGGATCACAAAAGTCTGAAAATACTTCTTTACGCAGAAGGAGTTGAATATGCGACAGACGAGATGGCTGGAACTGATAAAAGACTATGATCTAGAGATTCTGTATCACCCCGGGAAAGCTAACACAATTGCTGATGCCTTGAGCAGAAAATCAACAGGGAGTATGGCTTGTTTGCTCACTGAACAGAGAGAGATCTTGCAAGATTTTGAGAAATTTGAAATTGAAGTGGTAATATGTGAACATGGTGGATTGATAGCCGCTATTACAGCCGAGCCGGCAATCATTGATGAAATTAAGCAGAAACAAAAAGAGGATGAATTCCTCAAGAAAGTGATTGATGAATTCGAGACAAGTCCGAAAGCAGAGTTCAATATTGTAAATGAAGTGTTGAGATTCCGAAACCGAATGTGCATCCCAGACATTCCGGAACTAAAGATGAGGGTTTTAGATGAAGCCCGCAGATCCATATTTGCTATGCATTCGGGTAACAATAAAATGTATCGGGATTTGAAACAAACCTATTGGTGGCCTAAAATGAAGAAAGAGATTGCAGAATATGTGTCCAAGTGTCTTCAGTGTCAGCAAGTTGAGGCTGAACATCAGAAACCAGGCGGTCTACTTCAATCTCTTCCTATTCCTGAATGGAAGTGAGAACATGTGACTATAGATTTCGTTGTTGGCCTACCTCGGACTTCTTGAGGTATGGATTCTATTTGGGTTGTAGTTGATAGACTAACTAAAGTGGCACATTTTCTGCCAGTTAGAACTACGCTTAATGCTTATAGATTGGCTACTATTTATGTTGATGAGATTGTCCGTTTACACGGAGTTCCGGTATCTATTGTGTCGGATAGAGATCCGAAATTTGTATCAAGATTGTGGAAGAGTTTGCAGGAAGCTATGGGGACAGAACTAAGATTCAGTACTGCATTCCACCCACAGACCGATGGGCAATCAGAACGAACAATACAGACTTTGGAAGATATGCTTCGGATGTGTACTTTGGATTTTCTGGGGAGTTGGGAAGATTATTTGCCACTTGCAGAATTTGCTTATAATAATAGCTTCCACTCCAGCATCGGTATGGCACCATACGAGGCTTTGTATGGTAGAAGGTGTAGATCCCCTATTTGTTGGACAGAAGTCGGGGATAGAGCTTTACTTGGGCCTGAAATTGTGCAAGGCACTTCTGAAAAGATCAAAACCATTCGGCAAAGGCTCAAAATAGCTCAGGACCGACAAAAGAATTATGCAGATGTTCGA